TAGAAACAAAGTGTTGCGAAACGCGTCTAAAGTGTTGAAAGAAAGCGATGCGAAGGAGAAGACAGTGATTGAAATCGATAGCAATAGCGACGAAGAGATAGCTGTAAAGAAAAGGGTGACTAAACGAAGACTTTCTGACGATGAAGAGTACGGCACAAACGATAAGCACGAGACCAGCGAAAGCTCTTCCGAAGCGGAGTCTTCGGATGGAATGGATCCGTCGGCTCACGACTCGGACTCAGAGTACGCTTCGGATGAAAATGTAAAGAAAAAATCGTCGAAACAAAAGGCGAAGAAAGGAAAGGGAAAAGCAAAGCGAAAACGAGTTGTAAGTCGTGTTTGGCTTTTATTTTAAGTCATAATTTAAATTTTATTTTCATAACTAATTAAATAGAAAATCAACGACTCTTCGGACGACGACGACTGCCAAGTCTTGTCCGATGAAAACGATTCGCCGAATAAAAGCCGAAAGCATATCAAGAAAATAATCTCAGATAAAAAGCTGAAGGTTTGTGTGTTTTAGATAAACATTTGAATTGAATATCAATGACTGACTTGTGGTCTACGGATAGCAACAAACGAAAGACGCGGCCGAAGCCGAGAGGGAACGCATGAAACGGATTAAAGAGAAGCAATTAGAATACAACGACTTAATGAAAGACCGAACTCTTAAGTCCACGGATGTTAAGGAACTGATCCTCGAGTTCGACAAAGACACCAAAGAAGTGTTGGTTGAAGTGGACCACACTTTGGTTAAGTTTTTGAAACCTCATCAAACGGATGGCATACAATTCATGTACAACTGTCTGATCGAAACCGTGGATCAGGTGGAGGGCTCCGAGGGTTCGGGTGCTATTCTGGCCCACTCTATGGGTTTAGGCAAGACTTTACAAGTGATCACATTCTTATATACCATAATGACTCACAAAGACATCAAGAAACACATCAAACGATCGCTTGTGATATGTCCGGTGAATACGATCAAGAACTGGGCCAATGAGTTCAACATTTGGCTCAACGACAATGATTTGGACGATCTGTTAGTGTTCGAGATGTTCGACGCGAAGACACCGTATCAGAGGGCGGAACTGCTCAACATATGGTACAAGAGGGGCGGCGTTATGATCATTGGGCTGACGCTGTACTCGAATCTAGTGATGGGAAGGGGCAAAAAGCCCCCGAAATCAGTGCGCGATTCGATCCACAAGACACTCGTAGACCCGGGACCTGATGTCGTGGTCTGCGATGAGGGCCATCTGCTCAAGAATGAGAAGACAGCTTATAATAAAGCCGTCTCTCAATTGAAGTGTTTGAGACGCGTTGTGTTGACCGGAACTCCGCTGCAAAACAATTTGATTGAATACCACGTTATGGTGTCTTTCGTGAAGCCCTCCCTTCTCGGCACTAAAAAAGAGTTCATCAATCGGTTCGTGAGTCCCATCACTAATGGACAACACGAAGACTCCACCGATTATGACGTGAAGATCATGAAGAAAAGGGTCCATATATTACATACACTACTCAACGGTTGTGTTCACAGAAAGGATTATAACGTTTTGGTGCCGTATTTGCCGCCAAAACTTGAATTTGTTTTAAGTGTTTGTTTGACTGAAAAACAAATTGAATTGTATTCCCAATATTTGGAGACACAGACAGACAAACAGCGGATGAGCTTATTAGCAGATTATGGTGTTTTACGCCTCGTGTGGAATCATCCCATACTTCTGTTTGAACAGCACAGACGACGACTCGAGAAACAGGAAGCGATGGACGAGTTTATCAACGACGACGAAGATGTGGACACTCCTGTGAGCGGCGATTCCGATATTGAATGTCTGGACGGAAAGGCCGGCCCTTCGAACCCACCGAAGCGGCGAATGCGGACCCGATTTGGAGACAAAGACGAATCCGAGGAAGAGGTTAAAGAGGAGTCGAACAGTAGTGACGGCTATTCCGACGCCTGGTTTGCGAAGATTCTGAAGAAAGATGAGTCGAAACGCATTGAATTGAGTGGAAAATTTATTCTTCTATTCTCTATACTCGAAGAATGCGAGAAATTAGGCGACAAGATATTGCTCTTCTCTCAGAGTTTAGACACTTTAGATTTAGTCGAAGAGATGCTTAGAATTAGGTCCCAAAAGGCCGAAGAAGAGACCGATAAGATTCCCGAAATAGATTTGGAGACCAACTGCGCGACCGATGCGACCAATATATGGGTCAAGAATCGGGACTACTTTAGACTCGACGGGTCGACCGCTTCCGACTACAGGAAAGCGTGGATTGATTTGTTCAACGAAGAGAACAACTATAGGGCGCGACTATTTCTGCTGTCGACCAAAGCGGGCGGTTTGGGCATCAATCTCGTGGGCGCCAACCGGTGCATCATATTCGACGCCTCGTGGAACCCCTCGCATGACGTTCAGGCGATATTCCGTGTCTTCCGCTTCGGGCAGAAGAAACCGGTTTACGTCTACCGTTTCGTCGCTCAGGGGTCGATGGAAGAGAAGATCTACGAGAGACAGATCATTAAGCAGTCGCTGTCCTGTCGTGTGGTCGACGAGCAGTCCATTCAGCGCCACTTCAAGGCGTCTGAGATGTCAGAGCTGTATGTGTTCGCACCCGACACGTCCAAAGACAGGCCCACACCTAAGGTTCCCAAAGACAGACTTTTGGCCGAACTGTTGATCAAACACAAGGACTATATCGTGAAATATCACGAACACGACTCACTTCTGGAGAACAGACCGGAAGAGGAGATGACTGAGGAGGAGAAGCAGTCGGCTTGGAATGAATACGAACAGGAAAAGGATCAGCTATTCCTGAGGGAACAACAGGAACGCGACCAACGGCTCCAACGCGAGAACTATTTGGCGCAAATGCAACAACAGAATCAACAACAACAACAGCAGCAGAACCTCTTCCAATCGCCACTATATCAGCAACAAATGGCTCAACTCTTTCAGACGTACGGACAAAACCAATTCTCGCAACAGATCTATCAGAATATAATGAAACAGCAAGAGTTGGTCCGAAAGCAACAGCAACAGAGATATAACGAACAGAGAGCGCAGGAGTTGGCCCGACAGGCGGCCGCGGCTGCCGCTCGACCCGCCGTCCCCGCCGGCGGTCTTCCCGGCTATGACGTGATGACTGTCGAGGATTTGTGTAAATACCTGAAGACTACAAACCCTACGATCTCGAGCTCAGATCTAATTCAACGAACGTTTAGCGTAATAGAAAACGGGCTCACAATGTGTAACAAAGAGCTCACGTCCGTCAAAGAAGCCGTAAGTCATTGATTGATATTATTGTTTAGACAATTGATTTGCATTGGTGTCAATGTTTCAGATGCGTCAACAACAACAAAATTCAATCGAATTGCGCCCCAAATACGAGAAATTAGCGAAAGAAGTCTATAATTTAAATCTACAAAAAACCAGAGCTCAAGTAAACTATCGTTAGATTAATTAACTTTATTTGTTTATAACTGCGAATAAGTTGTAATGAAAATGTAATTTGATTGCAGACAATCTTCACAGTGGGTCCGACGGGTCGAGCGGCACCGTCTATACTCAGAAATAATCTTCAGAGTCAATACATGACAAACACTGTGTTATTGCCCTCGACTTCTAACACCAAACCCACGAGTGTTCTCATCGAAGAAGTCGATTAAATCGTTAACTAATTGAGCGCTAATTTAAAACAATTCCTATTATTATATTGTGATCTCTTTAGTAATTCATTCATTTTCAACAAATAATCGTATGTTTTTGGACAGAGATGTAGAGCACATGTTCCGCACTATTGTTCGCCGATTTCTATATATTTTGAATTTTGATGACAAACTCATAAAACATTTAAATCATTTAAGGAACGATAGGTCGGCGCACATGCTATCCATATTTGATCCAAAGTTTGTCTCTTATGTATTGTCATTGATTTGTATAAAACAAAGCAAAATAACTTTTTTTAAGAATTGAGAATAATTTTCATAAAACAATTTGAATGTAAAGAATTCATGGATTCAATCACTTATTGGTTAGTATTTATATTGGAAGCGCTAGTCTTTATATAAATAAATTTAATATTCTTTTCTCAGATAATTATTGTTTTTTAAGCCGAGTTTCTTTAGTTATACATTATAATTAAATAATGAGTGATTTTCATATAATTCAACAAATTTTGTTATCATTTATTGTAATCTTTAAAATTAATTCATTAAAGAAAAATATTTCAATTGAAACACATTTAATTGTATTCTTGCAAAACTGGTTGCTCTACACAATCACACCAGTAATTGAATTTAACTTTAAATACTTTCCCGTTTGGATTTTCCATTGAGTTACTAATGAATCATTGATTTACTAATTAATGGTTTGAATATTTCAAAGTTGACATAACTGTGCTTGCTCACAAATTTGAATGTCACTTGAGAGTTATGTTAGTGTTAATGTATTTGATTCAGTTTATGGAATAAATACCTGTGGTAACTGCTTTCGACCAAGATTACAACTATAGTAACCATGGTTATAACAGGTTACTTACAAGTGGCCAATACAGTAAATGCACTTATAAATTGACCACTATTTTTATCAACGAATTTATTAAATTACTATTAATTTAAGTTTTTAATACTATTGTGTATTCATTTGGTATACAGACTCTATTTAAAACTGATTTTGAATAATAATTGTATGTTTTTTGGATGAGATGTAGAGCACATGTGCCTTACGTTTGCGTCGATTACTATATTTATCTTCCAATTGATGACAAACTCTGGAAACTTAGAAATCATTTATTGTATGACAGATCGGCGCATATGTACTATATATCTGATCACAAGTTTATTTGTAATATTCTTTCATCCGATTTGTAAAAAACAAATGAAACTTTTTTATAAGAATTGAGAATAAGTTTTTGCAAATGGTTTTGAATCCAAACATCGATTTAAGCGTTTGTTGGTTAGTAATTATGTTACACTCAATTATTATTATTATTATTTAAATTAATTGTATTTTTGATGATATAATTATTCCTTTGTTTATAAATTATAAAATATATTATTTGATATTTTATAAGTTACCACTGAATGCATGTAAATATTAAATATCTTGTTAGCTTGTTAAGATAACTTGTTAATAATAAACAAATTTCTTTACTTTAATGAAAATGAGTACCAAGATTCAAAATACCAAGAATATGAATTAATTATTGTTTACCTTTTATAAGTCAAATATTTATGCAAAAAAACTATTATAATTTGTTTGCGATTGTGCCAACATACGAGAATGCATCCAAAAGGCAATTCTTTCAAAGATAATCTTAGTTACAATATTCTGTATATCATAAACACATTATTTACCCTAATATTTTATGCATTACCCTCACCTATGTATAATCCGCAGGTATATACAACAATTCAATATTTTATAGTTTAAAATCTGTTTGTGTTGACTCAAAAACATGTGCTTTTATAATGAGTTTTAGTTTCATATCATTTTAGTTGTGAATTAAATATTTGTGAATAAGTAATTGTTGTAATTATGCCGAAAATAAACTAATAATAATCGATTGACTGTAAAAAAACAATGTTGACGAGAAATGTGTCCTGATAATTTTGTAATATTTTTGCAATAGATAACCCGCACCCCATGTATAACTCGCACCAAAAAATTGACTTTTTCAATAGATAATATTGCACGGGATATTAGGGTAATTTCAGTGTTTTTGATCTAAACATATGAAGTTAATTGTAAATATTGGTATTAAATTTTAAAATTAGAATTATAGAAGATAGTATAGTGGATTATTAATTACTTAATACAAATGTAAGAATATAACAATTGTCTAAATATAAAATAATCTGATGAGTAATTTACTAATCTTTATATTGTATATCTGGTCTTTTTCAGATGCAATTCTGTTGTCTATCTATTGTCAGTATATTTTCATTAATGTCTTCATTATTCTGTATTATAATCGCACTTATATTACATATAGTATATAATTCGTGGATATTTTTATGAACAAAACTAACAATAATTTTGTGACTAAAGAAAGAGTTGATTATTTGACCGCACAATCAGTATTATGAAGACCAATTATAATCGCACTTATATTACATATAGTATATAATTCGTGGATATTTTTATGAACAAAACTAACAATAATTTTGTGACTAAAGAAAGAGTTGATTATTTGACCGCACAATCAGTATTATGAAGACCAAAATTATTATAGAAGCACTTATTTTGATGAGTTTATATAGATATCAATAGATTATCATATTGCATCTTGCTCCTAAAATATAACCATGGTCAATATTATGCTTTACTATATTTATTTGACATTTTAGCAGTGTATAGAATATAAAAGTTGGCAAGGATATTATTTTATTATTAAAGAATTTACATTGGTCAATTTGTCAGTATTTTTGCAATTTTATCCAATATAAAGAGAATTCAGAATAATTTACATGTATTTTGTTTATTAAATTTAAATTCTATATAATATGGTATTATTTAAATATTGGTTTCGATACTAAAGCTCACATTATTTTACACTTATTTATATTCAGTTTTATTAATATTAAAATTTATCATTTTTGCTCTCATATTGTTGTAAATAACATGAAATTATACTTTAAAAAACAAATATTCGTTTAATAATGTGACCAATATTTCATAAATATAATGTACTTTATTTTTATGATTAAATAATTTATATATTATTCACACAAACAAATGTACGAATGAAATGGTGGACATAATTGATAAGTTTAAAGCACGCAATGTTTGGACACAATTCAGAATTTATCTCTAAGAAAAAGTGTTCATTTAATAGGATTTTCACAGAATTTGTCGTATATTTCTGTACTCTTCTAATGGCTATAATAAGGACTGAGAGCACGACAGTCAAGACAAATGACATTCATTTCCAGTTAATATAGGTTTGTGTAGAAAAACCACAGTTTGCTTTCGATGACAGCGTTTGCCTGACATTAAATAATTACATTTAATTAGTCAAACAATTCCTTGAATTCTGCCTTTAGTTTACATATTATTTGTCAACAATTATTTAAAAATCAATTTTATGAAAACTTTTTTGACATTTTGGACAAACATTTCTCAGAAATATTAGACTATTTCTCACATTTTAAAAGTGTGTTTAAAATTATTTGTTGTCCTCTAAATGTCAATTCAATGCATCCTTTCATTTGAGCTTAGCTTTCGGCTAAATATTTACTTTATATACCTAAGTAAGTAAGTATTACATAAATTTAAAACAAATTTAATTACATTGTGTTTAATAACGCTTTATTAAAAGAGTTAATTCAAATTGATTTCCTATATTTCAGAGCATTTATTTAGCAAAAGTAAATTTTTTTGTAATGAGTTAATTGTGAGAAGAATTAAATATTAATATTATAATTTTTTCGTTTTAAAAATGGGTTTAATAGGAAAAATCAATTAGAATTATAGAGTTGTTATAAATAACTCAAAATTTAGTTAAAAATATTATTTAAAAGCATTTTCATGTATTACCGGCAATCATATCTGCATTAATTACCTAATTATATCATTAATGAGCAATTTTGATTTTAAAAGCCATTCAAACTGATATAAATCATAAATAAAAAATTAATAATTATTCATTTACCTGAAAAGTAAATATAAATGAAATAAATAAGTTCTAAACGATAGTAGTTTTTAGCTTATTAGAAGTGATGTGTAATTACAAAACTATTGTTAATAACAACAAAAAACGATAAATAAATTTTCCCGACCAACGGCTCAGTGAATGAATTGTGAGTTAATTTCATTCATTGAATGCATCGCTGAATATTAAATTAAGTATGGCCCGACAGGCGGCCGCGGCTGCCGCTCGACCCGCCGTCCCCGCCGGCGGTCTTCCCGGCTATGACGTGATGACTGTCGAGGATTTGTGTAAATACCTGAAGACTACAAACCCTACGATCTCGAGTTCAGATCTAATTCAGCGAACGTTTAGCGTAATAGAAAACGGGCTCACAATGTGTAACAAAGAGCTCACGTCCGTCAAAGAAGCCGTAAGTCATTGATTCATATTATTGTTTATACAATTGATGATTGACTTGAATTGGTGTCAATGTTTCAGATGCGTCAACAACAGCCAAATTCGTTGGAATTGCGCCCAAAATACGAGAAATTAGCGAAAGAAGTCTATAATTTAAATCTACAAAAAAGCAGAGCTCAAGTAAACTATCATTAAATTAATTAACTTTAAAACTCTGAATAAGTTGTAATGAAAATGTAATTTGATTGCAGACAATCTTCACAGTGGGTCCGACGGGTCGAGCGGCACCGTCTATACTCAGAAATAATCTTCAGAGTCAATACATGACAAACACTGTGTTATT